TGTGTGTGTGTGTGTGTGTGTGTGTGTGTGTGTGTGTGTGCGTGTGTGTGTGTGTGTGTAGCAGTGGGGGGTTTCAAAAAATTTTTGAACCTCTTCTGCAGGTGTGGCCTGCTTTCCGGGTCCACTGGTGGAACCTCTTCTAAACGGTTCGGTAGATTTGACGAACCGGTTCTACCGAAATGGTGCGAACTGGTAGGAACCCACCTCTGAAACACACCCACACAAACAAACACACACAGAGTATTCGGAGCAGAAACAAAAAAATATATTTTGCTTGCCGAACGCAAAGAGCCCTTTCTCGGTGCCCTCCACGGATTCTGGCATCTTACCCAGGGTCTCGTTCACCACCGTGGGAATGACGGTCCTCAGCCCCGTGCAGTTGGTATGCAAAGCAGGATTGGCGTTCATTTCCAAGAGCCACACCTGTGAACGTAACACCGGTTAGGTCTACGGAGATTCTCAGTCATCCAGACAACGGTTATCCCAAAGGTGCTTTTTTTTGTTTTTTTTTCAAGAGGCAACTTGGTTTTTTCCTTTTTGAAGATGGCGGGGAAACTCTGACCATCCAGTCAGAGCCGAAGGAGCTTCTCAGAGGAGAAGTGAAACGTCTTCAAAGAAAAAAACAGACCGTTCAGTTGCCTCTTAAAAAAAAAAAGCACCTTTAGGTAACACTAGTTATATTGAGGCCTATGATATTTCTATCCCCTTTTTGTGATGCTTTATTGAAACTTTTAAAACATCCCTCCTAAATCCTTCCGAAGTCTAAAACTAAACATGTTCTCTTTGGCTTTGTTCTTTTGCGCCCCCCCCCCCCAAATTCTTTTTCAAGTCCAGATTAAATATCACACATACACAGAGAAGTAATTCTAAAAGGAGGAATAAAAAACAGGCAGAGTTTTAAAGAAAATACCAATCGTGATTATATAATTTCCCCTTTTCTTGTCCAATTTGTTTCCATTTCGGAGGGGGGGTCTCTACTTTTGGCCAAGCCCCCTCCCCTCCTAGAGTCTCTGACATGGGGATCGTTCACACAATTAGAATATAGAATAACAGAGTCTTCACTGGAAGTTTTTAATAATACAATACAATAACAGAGTTGGAAGGGACCTTGGAGGTCTTCTAGTCCAACCGCCTGCCTAGGCAAGAAACCGTATACCGTTTCAGACAAATGGCTACCCAACATCTTCTTAAAGACTTCCAGTGTTGGGGTATTCACAACTTTGCAGGCAAGTTGTACCACTGGCTAATTGTTCTCACTGTTGGGAAATTTCTCCTTAGTTCTAAATTGCTTCTCTCCATGATTAGTTTCCACCCATTGCTTCTTGTCCTGCCCTCAGGTGTTTTGGAAAATAGCTTGACTCCCTCTTCTTTGAGGCAGCCCCTGAGATATTGGAAGACTGCTACCATGTCTCCCTTAGTCAATCCATGTTTGCATAACCGCTATTGCTGAGCTATATGCTCTGTTTGGCTTCGCAAGACCCCTTCCCAAGCCACAAATGCATGTTTTATTCCAGTATCGAATAGCAAAGCTATCCTGTAGCTATGCTGAATCGCAGAGACCAGATCCTCTCCGTTCTATCAAATTCAATTTTTTTCCGGTTTCTTAAAAATAAAGCAAGTTCTATTTTTGCAACTGGTTTGAATCTTCCAGCTTTAAATGAAGCTAAAAATATTTTGTGTTTTTGCCACTGGGGGACGCTGGAATTCCACTCCAGTTTCTGCAAAGTTTTGTGTCTTTGACTAGCAAGAGGTAAGTGGGAGGAAGACAAATAAGTGAGATGAGGATCTTTGCAGAAACAGGTGGCGTATTTGGGAAACCCCCATCCTTCGTCCCCAAAACGTCCCCGTAGGACCAACTTAAACTGGTCACAGAATGGACATATTTTCCTGGATTTGCACCACACACAAAAGCCACAACCAGGGATGGGTGGATGCAACGCAAGCAGCCGGCACCCTTACCCACAAACATGTAATAATGAGTTTGCAACTCGGCTAAAATTAAACGGCGCTTTATCATGGGTGGCAATTAATCCAGAATAACAAGGAGATCTACGATTACTAATAGATCTTGGGGGGGAAGATCTGTAAAAGAGATGGATTGAGTCTCTGGGGAGCTTGCAAAGCGATTGATTAACCACAGGGGAGATAAAAATCTAGCTAATACAATTCAGTTTTCTATATTTGAAAGCTGTAGAGAAATTGCCAGGGATGGGACGGGGGCTCTTCCCTCCCCCAGATTGCAGATGGGTTACCTTAAAATCTTCATCAATCAGGAAGTCGCAGCCGATGAGATCAAAGAAGCCCAGTTTGCATTCCAGCTTGGATTTGACGGAGAGAAAACACTGTAACATGATTTCTTTCATTCTCTTCTACAAAGCACAGGAGACAAATATTAAAAGAGGGTGGTCTCCTTCCCCCTTTTTGAAGAAAATATATTATCCAAGACCTGTTTTGCGGAGAATACATTGCTAAAAAGGTAAGGGGCGGGGGAAAAAATCCCCAAAATGGAAGATATAGAGCAGTGTTTTTCCAACTTGGCAACCTTAGGATGTGTGGCCTTCAACTCCCAGAATTCCCCAGCCGGCATAAAAATCCACACGTCGAGAAGAGAAAAGAAAGAGAAAACAAGTTGGTGTCTTAGCAGGTGCGAAGGATGGTAAACAAAGCAATCCAAACTATACCTTATAACCTTTCAAATGGAATAATAATAATATAAGAATGGCAAAGAAAAAGAATAATTATGTGAATGTATATCTATAACTGTATGTAAGAGAATAAATGACAGTAAAAATATAAAGAAAAAAGAAAAAAGAAAA